GCTGAGGGCCCATCCCTGTGGTGCCAGGACCGGTCCAGGCCCTGCGCTCCCAGAGTGCCCCACGCCTGGGGTGGGCCCAGTGCGCTGCCGGGTGGGGACGGCCCCTGCTCGAGCTTCCCTCCGGGACCCCATCTCTGCCCCTCTCCCCAGGTTCTGTGCCGAGCGCCTCCGCTCTCTCCTGCACACGCTAGAGATCGCCGACTTGGCCGACTTCTCCCCGCTCACCCTCCTGGCCAACTTTGCCACCCTCGTCAGCACCTACGCCAAGGGTACGCTTGCGCCTCCTGCCTGGGCCGGCCCAGAGGAGCCTAAAGGGCTGCACATGGGCGACTGGGCTGGGCTCAGGAGTTGGGGCTTTGTTTTTAGGGGTGTGGGGAGCCTAACGTGAGCGAGTCTCACATTAGTTGGGCTTGCTTCTCAGAGGGCCCCCTGGCTGCAGAGGCGGGAAGGGTAGCGTGCGCGTCAGCTAGGCCAGAGTCTGTGGGGCAGCCCCGCGCAAGGTTAAGGAGCCGGCCGCCGTGCCAGGCGCCCTAGGGAGCCGCGGCAGCCGCTGCACAAGGCAGGGCCATCTGTGTGCTTGCAAGGTTCTTCTGGCCGGGACTGGAGTAGGGGAGGCCGAGAAGGGAGGTGTGGACAGAGGCGGGAGATGTGCCTGTGTGGGGGCTGGGGTGGGGAGAGCCCGCCAGGCTCAGGTGCGGCTGGCCACGGAGAGGGATGTGCTCCCGAGCCCTCCCTGTCAGCACCCCCGCCCCTCCGGAGCGGGTTAAGGGCTCAGCGTGATCCGGGGTTACCCTTCTGTCCAGGAAAGCAGGTCGGGCCCACGGGTGTCCCGCAGCCTGGACTGGCCTCGGCAAGAGCAGAATCCAGCCTCTCTTCCCTAGGCTCTCTGGAGGATTGCTCCCCACCTCCTTGCCCCCCACCACATAATTCTGCCAGAGGCAGCCTCCTCCGTCTCCTGGTCCCGTCAGTTCTCGCCTCCGTGGAGATGTGCTCTCCTCCAGGAAGCCCTCTGTGCCCGGGCTGGCTCAGGCCCCTCCATGGGCTCCCACCCAGCCCTGCCCCGGTCTTCATGACCCCATCACCAGACAGTGAGCCCTCAGGGTCAGGGCTAGGGTGTCCCCAGCACAGAGGAACCGACAGGTTCTTTAAAGAGGTGACCCCAGCTCGGGAATCTGTGCACTCACCTCATGTGTTCGGCACACCCAGATCGGCACTGGGAAGTGACGGGAACCAAGAAATGCCTCATTCCTGATCTCCTGGAACTTAGACCATAGCGGGGGAAGACGAGTAGCAAAGTCGCAAATGAGGTGGTTCCAGGAAGTGAGTTCACGAGGAGCACACTGCCGGGTGGGGCTGCAAGCCCGGGGTCTGAGCAGCGTAGACGCAGTCTGGGGGGACGGAAATGTGTTCGGGAACCTCCCAGGCAGTGGGGCCTGGGGGGGCCTGAGAGCGAAGAGGAACTAGGCTTGCTGGGGCGTGCCCCAGGCCGCTCTGGACGGGCTTGAGGGTGTGAGGTGGAATCTCGGGAGCTTCTTGAGGGGGAAGGGGACACATGACCTGATGGATTATCAGGCCCCTCTGGGCAGGAAGGGAGCAGGGGTGGGAGCTGGGAGCCCCGTGAGGGAGAGTGGGGGATGGCCTCGAGGGCGCCGTTGTGGCTGGTGCTCGCCAATGTCCGGGCCTTTCAGGCTTCACCATCATCATCGAGCCCTTTGATGACCGGACCCCCACCATCGCCAACCCCATCCTGCACTTCAGGTGAGACTGACTGGTGGGGCGGGGGGGCCCCAGGGCCCGGGCCCCGGCCTCACCACCTGCCCGTCCCGCAGCTGCATGGACGCCTCCCTGGCCATCAAGCCCGTGTTCGAGCGCTTCCAGTCTGTCATCATTACGTCCGGGGTGAGGGCCCCCGCCCCAGCTCTCGCACCTCACGGCGGGCTCCTGGCTGCCTCCTGCTGAGCCCTCCTGCTGTCCCTCCCGCAGACCCTGTCCCCGCTGGACATCTACCCCAAGATCCTGGACTTCCACCCGGTCACCATGGCCACCTTCACCATGACACTGGCCCGGGTCTGCCTGTGCCCCATGGTATGTGAGGGCGGGGGTCGGCCAGGGAGGGGCCACTTGCCTCCCTTGGCCCCCCGCCACCACTCAGGACAAGGCTCTGGAGTCGGGGGCGGGGCTGCAAGCTGACTTCTCATCTGCCACATAAGCTGTGTCCTCCCCGATCTCCCGGGTGACGGACGGGATTTAGTGAGATAATGGGGTAAATGCTCATGGGGCCCCGGGCCCTGCCCTACGCAGATGCTCAGTCAAGATTTTAGGGACCGTGGCTTTGCCTGATTCACTTGTGGGCTGTGACTTGGTGGGTGACCCTGTAGCTCTGCCTTGGTCTCCTTATCTGCAAAATGGCATCATAACGCAGGCCTTCGGGGCCTTCACTGAAGCCTCGGGCCAGAGGTGCTTTCGAATTGAGAATATTCCAGACATTCCAGCAAGGCACATGCCCACTGTAGGGACAGCCAGGGGCCCAGCCAGAGCTCAGTTCCTGAGCAGACTCAAAGGCAAGTTCTGGGGCATTGGCTTAAAATCAGTGTTTTGGACATTGAACTTGGTCATTGAACTGCACCCTGGTTCTGTGAGGTTGGCATTGGGGGCTGCAGGGTTGAGGGTAGGAGCCTCTTTGGCACACCGACTGGCTGGGAATGGCATAGAGGGTGCCTGGACACGCACAGGGGTGTGGGGTCACTTCGTCCCTAGTGTCTGTCCAGCGGTGGCCTTGCCTGGCTGCTCACCTCCCCAGCCTCAGGTCTTCCGTCTGCAGCAGAGGGAGCCTGAGGTGTCCTGACGTGGCCGCTGCGTGCGTGTCACGCACGACCCTCCTTGCTCTCTTCAGATTATAGGTCGCGGCAATGACCAGGTGGCCATCAGCTCCAAGTTCGAGACCAGGGAAGATATTGGTATGCGGCCCTGGTGGCTCATGCGGGGTCAGTGTGTCGGGGCGGCGGGCGGGGTGCAGCTGCAGCAAGACCCCCCAACGTGAAGTAGCAAAGGCCGGGATGGCTCCCTCCTGTGGCACTTCCGGGTGGGCTGGGGACCTGCCCCGTGTGCCCACCACCTGGGGAGGATGCGGTGAGGGAGGCTTCCGGAGAGCTGTGGCCCCGGCCCCAGGAGCCCCACACCAGCCCCGCCTGCCTCGAGCGGCACGTCATGGGCCGGCGGCGCCGGTCACTGGGGCTGTACTTCTCCCAGTGAGGGGCCCCCGTGGCCACAGGGGACCGAGAAAGCCACGTCTGACAGGGCGGGGCTCTGGCGGGGTGCGGGAGGCCGAGGCGGGGAGGAGCCAACACCTGCTTCCCACAGCCGTGATCCGCAACTACGGAAACCTCCTGCTGGAGATGTCCGCTGTGGTCCCGGACGGCATCGTGGCCTTCTTCACCAGCTACCAGTACATGGAGAGCACCGTGGCCTCCTGGTACGAGCAGGTACGGCCTGGCGGGGCCGGGAAGCTGGTGGGGCGCAGCCGCCAGGCGTGCAGTGGGAGGGCAGGGCTCCCCGGAGCACCCCTTACCTCCCCTCCTCTCCGAGAGCTGCGTGCCAGGCTGCCCTGACGCCCCCTGGTGAGGGAGAGGAGGGCTTTGGGCGGGCCCTGGTCTGGCCCCACCTGCCTCACCCCACACCCTACCCCCCCCCCCCCCCCCCGGCGGCGCTGCAGGGAATCCTGGAGAACATCCAGCGGAACAAGCTGCTTTTTATTGAGACCCAAGATGGCGCTGAGACCAGTGTTGCTCTGGAGAAGTACCAGGAGGTGGGTACCGGTGGGCCTGGGTCCGGGCGACTGGTCGGCGGTCGGGTGTGAGCTCGCACGGGCTCTCCACAGGCCTGCGAGAACGGCCGAGGCGCCATCCTGCTCTCAGTCGCCCGTGGCAAAGTGTCAGAGGGAATCGACTTCGGTGAGTGCCCTGCCCCAGGCCAGGCGGCCTTCGCCCCGGCACTCCTCCCGCCCCCACACTCACCCGCTGCCCTCCACCTGCAGTGCACCACTACGGCCGGGCCGTCATCATGTTCGGCGTCCCCTACGTCTACACCCAGAGCCGCATCCTCAAGGTGAGGGCGCAGGTGGAGCCGGTGGGGGGCGGGGTGCCGGCTGGAGGGCGGCTGGGCGCCCTCAACACCCGCGGCCCGCAGGCGCGGCTGGAGTACCTGCGAGACCAGTTCCAGATCCGCGAGAACGACTTTCTCACCTTCGACGCCATGCGCCACGCCGCCCAGTGCGTGGGCCGCGCCATCCGGGGCAAGACCGACTACGGCCTCATGGTCTTTGCCGACAAGGTGCGCCGCGGCCCCGCGGGGTGGGCCCCGCTCCCTGGGCGCGGGGCTGGCGCCCCGCGGGTCCTCACCGTCCCTCTCCCGCTCACAGCGGTTTGCCCGGGCCGACAAGCGGGGGAAGCTGCCCCGCTGGATCCAGGAGCACCTCACAGACGCCAACCTCAACCTCACTGTTGACGAAGGGGTCCAGGTGGCCAAGTACTTCCTGAGGCAGATGGCACAGCCGTTCCACCGGGTGAGCGTGGGCCCCCCCCAAGGCGCAGCCACTGAGGCCACGTGTGGGCGCCCCAGGGAGGCAGGGCGAGGGGAGTGGCCTCCTCCTTCAGTGGGGCACACGCCACTCTGGCTGCCACCTCCCTCCGTCAGGCCTGCCCTGCTTGCGGAGAGGACCCGGAGGCCCCGCCCCAGCCCCCGCCTGCCTGGTCCGATGCCGCCTCCCCCCCCCTCCAGGAGGACCAGCTGGGCCTGTCCCTGCTCAGCCTGGAGCAGCTGGAGTCGGAGGAGACGCTGCGGAGGATAGAACAGATCGCGCAGCAGCTGTAGGCCGGGGCGGCTGCGGGGTGCCCGCGGGGTGGCGGCCTCAGAAACCCCAGGCAGAGACTCAACTGCTGCAACTCTGCCGCCTTTAATCAGCCTCACCAAGGGAGAGGGTGATGGGGCCCACGGGCGGGCGCCCCGGCCGAGCAGCTGGGGCCTTAGCGGGGGCCCAGGTCCTGGGTGCTGGCGCTGAGGGTCCGCGAAGCCTCGCTCAGGTGGCTGCTGGGGAACTGGGGACACACACGGGATGGCCTACGGGTGAGCGAGGCGGGGCAGTCCCCCCCCACGGCCGGGCTGCCGCTCTCCCATGCCAGCCACAGCCCGGGTCCCCACCTTCCCGGGGCTCAGCTGCCTCTCACCTGGGCCCCCGCGGCCCTGGGCGCATCCACGTTCAGCACGTTGAGCGACATGGCCCTCTTCATCCTGCGGAGGCCCGGGCCCCGGTCAGCCGCCCGCTCCGCTCCGGCACGGCTGCTGGGCGGGAGGGTCCGGACTCGGCCGCCGTCCCGGGACGTGGCCCAACTCACCCGCCTGCCCCTGCCGCCACCTCGCCTCGGAGCCGCGAGACCAGCTTCTCGCTGCCACGCCGGAGGGACTCGCGCAGCCTGGAGAAGGAGCTGCTCCTGCGAAGCGTCTGCGGGCCAGGACAGCGGTCGGCTCGGCCCGCCCACACCCCCAGCCCAGGACAGGCCCCCCGCCCCGCCGAGCCACTCCCACCTGTTCCGAGTCACCGGTGGTGCCCGTTCGGGGGGCTCCTGGGGAGAAACGGGAGACAGTCACAGCGCGGAAGGCTCCTGCGGAGGCGTCAGGAGCGGGGCGGCTGGGACTTACCCAGGGGGGCGGGCAGGCCCTCCCTGCGCAGGATCTCCTGGTACAGCGCCTCTGCCTGCTGGTACTTGTTCTGCTTCAGGTAGGCTGAGGCCTGCCGGAGGGTGGCCGGGGTGCACTTGTCATATTGGGGGAGTCCCTGGCACAGGATGCCGGGGCTCAGCCCACACCGCGGCCCCCTGCAATGGCGGGGTTGGCGCCCTGGGCCCTGCTCCCCGCTCGGAGCTGGCGTCTCGCACCCATGTCAGGGACAGCCTCACTCTCCTCAAGTGCGAGGGGGCAGCGCCTACCTCAGGGCTCTAAGAAGCAGGTACGGGAGCACACTGAGGGGCGTCAATAAACAGCTGATGCGTCACCTGCTTCCAGCCGTGGCCTCCCTCCATGGACCTGCCCTCTGGCCTCCACTGAGGGGTCTCCCCAGGCAGGCCCAGCTTGGAAGCCACCTTGGGGGACACTTGCTTCAGTGTCAGGCACAGGTGGGGGTCCTGCTCTGGGTGCAGCCGGGGGAGGGGGTCCTGGGCCTGAGTCCAGCCATGCCCCACAGCACCCTTACCAGGTTGTTCTTGGTCTTGGCCACGTTGGGGTCGTGGGGCCCCCCCAGGGCCTCATAGATGCTCAGGGCCCGGGCGTAGTGTTGCTCCACCGCCTCGAACTTGCCCTGGTTCTGGCACAGCAGGGCCAGGTTGTTGAGCTGCTTGGCCACGTCCGGGTGGTCAGCACCCAGGACCTGGGGGCAGAGTGGGGAGTGAGATGGGGGAGGTGCAGGGTAGGCTGGGAGCTGCTGAGCCTGGTGAGGGGCGGTGGTTGGCCCAGCAAAG